GAGCTTCAACATTTCTTTTTTTTTTTCTTGTTCAATAGTTCAATGCGATATATATATATATCGGGGGTCATTTTTCGAGTCATACCTATTAATTAGAGTATCTTCTTCTCTCTCTTTTTTTTTTTCTTTTTTTATTTAGTGAAAGGACGCAAATGGCTCTTGCAAAAATACAATTTGTTATTTTTCATCTTCTCCTGTTATCGTTAATAAAAATTGTTGTGTATTTACTACCTATTCTCTTTTTTTATTATTATTATTATATTTCTTAATTATCTCACTTGTCGTATTATCGATCATCTTTTCTCGTATTCTTTTCTCAACGGGTTTCCTCATTCGATCAAAGTTAGGTTAGGTTCACATCGCATGTGTAAAACACGGGCACGAGATTGGCAAGAAGGCCATGGATTTAATATTATTACCGCGTATTTAATTATTCTCAATAATTTTCTCGCGGATAAAACTATTACGAAGAGAGGAAATATGATGGAGAAAAATTTCGTCCTCGCGATACCGCCATATTTATTTCTCCTCGAGGCGAGGGAACGCATGCACCACAAACTTCACTAAAACCGTCCGTAAAAACCGACGATCGATATATATATATAAGATATACGATATATCTGTCTGTACACAGCGTAATACATTAAATGATATTACACTTTTTTTTCCCTTTTTTTTTTTTTTACATAATATAATCATCAACACCTTTTATATATATATATATAATATACGTATTTCACGCATACACACTCACTCTCTCTCTTTCTCTCTGGGATCAATGAGCAGATCGCGACCGACGAAACTTTTCTCAAACTGTTCTCGAAGGAGTCAGTGGTTCACCCAGGTGTTATACCTTTAAAAACGGGACAGGCTCCAACTCTTGTGCGCGATGCGGAGCCGACGACGGGCAAAGTCGTCGCGCGGTCTCGGCAACGAACGCGAATCGAGTCCGTCGATAAACGGATTTCAAACAATTTTTACATTCGCGACGATTCCAATACGATTCTCCTCCTATCGGTTGTTGTTTTGGATCGTTTGTTACTAAAGGGCGAAGAAAAAAAAAAAAAAAAAAAAAAAAAAAAGGGGGAGGGGAAGAAAAAAGTATCTGTTCTTCTTCTTCTTCTTCTTCTTCTTCTTCTTTTTCTTCCGTTTCACAGCATCGTTTCAGCATCGTTTCAGCTTCATCATCTTCGTCAATTTCACGGATGTCTTCCGCTGCTCGTTCGTCTCCCTCCTCGAACGTGGCGCCGGATCGGAAGTTAGGACCCGGAACGAGGCGAGGAGCGAGGAGGAGAGCGTTCCCCGGCGAACTGATCCGCCAAGCTTCCCCGAGTAAGGCAACTCGAAAGCGTGTTGATGATTCTCCCTCGTGGTCGGCGTCCACACGCCCCTCTTTCCTCGAGTCTTCTCGATTCCCTGTCAGGTAACGACGAGTCTGGCGGTCGAGTTCACCAAGTTCCTAAGCCGTGGTCACTCGATGCTCCTTATCAGCACGGCCAGCTCGCGGAACAAAACGCCCAATTTGCCCGGCGTCCCTTGTTTCTTCAACAGGATACCTCTGATCGTCGAGAGCTTCTCGAAACATGAGAGGCACTTGTGGTATCTGAAAGGAAATTATTTGTATTAATTATTTTCGTTAATATAGATGTATTAATTACATCAATTGTTGTGAAAAGATTACCTTTCCTCCCGTGACACGTCGACACCGATCGTGTGAAGGGGCGCTTCCACGTTCGATTTTATCACGGATGCGAAGTTTCGTAAGATCAATCTCAACGCCGAACATCCTACAGTTATGTACCTGAAACAGGCGAGATAAAAATAAAAAGAGAAGAAAAAGAAGAAGAAGAAGAAGAAGAAGAATCACTTTGCGACAATTTTATTAAATTACGTAAAAAAAGAAAAAAAAGAAAAAAAGAAAGAGAAAAATCGGATTCAGAGGAGAGGAGAGATGAGAAAGGCGGTGGTTGCGACCGGGCACCGATGCTTGTCACGGCTAGTTTGTTCCAAAACGTGTTATTAGCCCATAACGATGCCAATAAATAACGAAAGGCACGAAAGGCTTGGCCCTGCAATTCGACACGCTCGCTTTTGGCCGGCGATAAAGGGTTCACGCGAGCTCCCGTTCGAATCGGCGAGACGAATCGCGCGGCCCGCCCCGTAAATGTTCCACGATCGCCTCCACCGTCAATATTTTACATTATATACACGCCACCACTACCATCATCCGCGGGAAAATAATCTTTTCCCGATCTTTACAATCTTTATTATTTTTAATCGAGTTGTGAAAACGTTTTTTTGATCAATATCGTCATACGATTATTAATATTCTCATAAGTAATATTTCAATCCAAGATCTCTTTCCTTATTCAACGATAATAGTTAATCTAATGATATTTAATTAAATTATATATTTTATTTCATTTTGATAAATTAAATAATAAATATTTGGTAAGTATTAGTGTGTAAAATTTCTAATTCTTTCTAGAAAAAGAAATTCTTTTAATCCTTTTTATCTATATAGAGATGATGGTCGATTTTGGAAGAGGGGGGGGAAAGGATCGATGAATTGGAAAACGATCGAAAACGACCCTCCGTCACACGGCACGCGACACGGAATCGAATATTCATCGGTGCGCGCTCCTTTTTTTTTCTCACGAGCCCACTGCCACCTTTGACCAAAGGACGAAAGCACCGTGACGAACCAACCGTGAAAATGGCGGATAGCTACGTGCAAACCGAGTTACGTTACGACGTCGAGATGTGTATGTTTAGCTGGTAATTTCCTGCCTGGATTCACCCTTTCGATTATTTAGCTGTCGAACCGTGAATCGAATGCATCAGCAATCAGTGCGAGCTCGTGACCGAATCTTGAAACGAAATTCGAACTTTCGAATTTTCAAGGAACGAAAAAAATTTTGGTAAAACAAATTTTATATATAAAATACGTTTGAAAGGAAAATAAAAATTGATTGGTTTACCTAGAAATATAGCATATCCTTGATAAGAATTGTCTTTGAGAATTTTTATTTCAAACTTTGCACATAGAATCATCGACTCTGTCTTTGTCACAGCTAAAAAATAAGACGCTTTTAAACGAGATCGATGAATATGTATTTATGAAAGATCGAAAATTGTATATATATTTTTAAAAATCGTACGATTCCATAATTAGCTTTTTTTTTCTTATTTCAAGAGTCGTGCAACTGTGAAGAACTGTGGCAGAAAAAGAATGGACAGCAGCTGCTAGACGACCGACAAATTAGTCAGAATTCACATATATGGCATCGATTACAAGTTTCCTGAACGTGAGCAACGGGCATAAACGACTAACCATAGAAAGCGTCGAAGAAACGAAAAATTTATACGTATTTACATGTTAACGATATATCCACATTTTTTTTCGAGGATTCGAAATTATAAATGGTAAGATCGATGATATCTAATTAATTCCGATGACTAAGATTTAAATTACGATTTTTATTATGGCCGATGATGCAACGATAAATTATCTTCATACGTAAATTGCACATTTGTCATTCTTTTCGTTTTTTTTTTTTTTCTGTTCTAATAATAGCAATGACAAGCAAGGAGGCAAAACGCGAAGACGATGATCGTCGCAATAAATGACGGCGTAACGAATGGAACAGCAATTTTCCGGACTGGTGGACTTACATTCTAAACGGATGTACTATTATTAGATCGCAGTTTGATATTGGCTTTGCCTTTCAATTAATATGGGAAAGCCTCGAGGCTTATCTGATCTACGATCTCTCTAGTTTTAATCTGGAAAAAATCAATTAACTAAATGATCTTATCGTATTAAATTTGATAATAAATTAAACGTAACACAACGATCGCTTTGTTCGATAAAATTCATGCCTTATTTTTTTTTTTTT